TCCTAAAAAAATAGATCCATGACTGTACCAATCTTCCGTATTCAGAATATTATAATGCTGCGGCCACTTCTATAGAACGACTGTTTGCAAGTTTGTGTCTTAGAAATATCTTCTAATATCTTGTGTGTTCATGTGAGCTCTGGATCAGATATGCTCTGGAAGAGTCCTCGGGTGTGCCTGCACATGACTGTCTGGGTTATCTGAGCAGGCCCTAGGAAATTCTGCTTGTAGAGGAGGCGGCTGCAAACCCGAGGTTCCTGAGCTCCCTTTGCTGTGTCTGTGCCACATCTGGCCTCTACCACCGCGTTTCTTGTGGTTGTGCTGTTAGTGGTAAAGTCAAGTGCCTTCAATGCTAAAGGCTCAGAAATCTTTCTTAAACTGATTTATGTCCTATGCAAGTGTTTTCTACAGCCTGCATAACCAGTACTTTGTAAAACTTGTTTACGCTTCAATTGTACATAGTGTTTTTTAAAGAAATATATAGTATTTTTATTTAGGTACCTCCAAACTTGAACTCGTCTGTGTGAAACATTGTAAACGATACATTTCTCTTTTGAGTACCATCACAGTTGTACAGAGGTTTTCACTGGTTCTATTTTTCTACTGTTACTGATAAGCATGTAACACTGACTTTATCCTACATATAGTTGGCATTTCAAATAAATGGCTTGTATAGAACCTCCTGAGTTGGACAGTCTGTTCTAGCAGTATGGCATACGGTCTCCATCTACAGATGTGGTTGTACCCTTAAGGGTAGAAGCTGGAGGTTTTCTGCATTTTCTGTCTCATGTTTTCAATTTAGAAACATTTTTGATGATGGTGATGATGGTTTCCTTGGAAATTATCTTCTGGTTCATCGTTTTGTTTCACCCAGGACTTTTGAGAGACTTCATTGTACAAACTGGAGCAATGGTCTCCACAGGAAATTCAGCATTCCACCCACATGGTCCAGGCACCTGGCCTACATCATGCTCAGTCAGTGGGATAAAGATGTATCCAGGTACTCAGGCCTCCAAGCTTGGAAGACCTCAGGCAGAAGACAATTAGTTCTACCTCAACATTTTAACTTCTAAAAAGGAAAGATTCTGTTAAAAAAGGGAAGCTGAGATGGGAAGACTTGGCAGGGTGACCTTTAGAAAGAGCCAAGGCTACTGCTAGGCTAAGAGACGCCAAGGAGGTCAGAGCCTGCGGTGGCAAGAGCTAGGCACACATGAAGACTCTGGGACAAATTAGTGGGACCCACCTTATACCTCTTGGACAGGCAAATGCTAATGCTAATCTCAAAAGGTTAAAGTTGTCACAAAAGCGTTAGCCAGGATGGAGGGTGGGGCGTGGTATTAGCCAGATTTCCCAACAGTGGGAAGAGGCTAAGAACCAACAGAAGATGGGTTCAGGCTACAAAGGGTGCCGTGTTCCATGAATTAGGAGCTTTTGGTAGGCAAGGCAGGGAGGGTCTGATCTAGAGGAAAATGAGCTGAATATCGATCATATTAGTTTGGTTAGGAACTCTTATTTTCTTGTTTTTCGAGACAGTGTTTCTCTTTGTAGACCAGGCTGGCCTCGAACTCACAATGATCCACCTGCCTCTGCCTCCCTGAGCGCTGGGATTACAGGCGTGAGCCACAATTCGCCTGTAAGCAGTATCTGACAAGTATATTTAGGTGGTCTACATATATTTCATGACTAAGGGGAACATTGGAAGGAGGATGAAAGATACAGGTGAGGACCCTGGATGATCCTACCTCCCTAGGTGTTTTAGGGACTCAATGACTCAAGGCCCCTACAAGCAGGAAGGAAAACTATAAGGCCCAGTCAAGACAGCTACAGGGACCAGTCTTCAGAATAAAAGTGCTATGCACGCACATTGTGGAATAGAGAAAATGAGAGAGACTATAAAATATATGTGATAATTCCAAGAGTGCCTACAGAGCTGCTCCTGAGAGGGCTACTGGTAGTAATGAGGTAGGGGTATTTGGAATTATAGTCTCTGTCTCTTTCTCTGCCTCTGAGTGCCTGCCTCCCTCCATCCCTCTCTCCCTTCCTCTCTCCCCTTCTCTCTCCATAGGTCTGGCTGGCCTAGAACTCACTTTGTAGACCACATTGGCTTCACACTCAAAGATCTACCTGCTTCTGCCTCCCGAGTGCTAGAATTAAAGGTGTGTGCCTGCATTTCCTGTTTGAATATTTCCTTTTTATTGTACCATTGTACTAGTACATTTTTTTTATTGTACTGGTTCTTTTTTTAAATGGGGCTCAGAGTTGGGAATTCAGCTTCAGGTAATGCCAAGTACATGCACCACAAACCTCAAACCCGTGCTTACATTCATTATCACACTGAGCTTGTGGAGGTCGAAGAGTAGTCAGTTCTCTCCCTCCACCTAGAAATCAAGTTCAGGATGTCCAGCGCAACAGTTTTCACCCCCTCTCCAGCCACAGTTAAATTTTCACCTATTATCACCCCTTCAAATCAAAGGAAAAAGCCTAAAGATCACTTCTCGTATCCAAAGTGGCTGCTGCTCCTAGTTTCAGGAGGTCAGGCCTCTGAGTGTTTCAGGGATGACTGGGCAAGTCGAGTCAACAAGACTGGTGGGCAGGCAGTCTAGCGGGGTGAGAACATGGAGGTCTCCTGGGCAGATGGCTTGGTGAGCAGCAGAGAGGGTGGAGACTACAGATACAGGTCCAAGGAGGTTACTCTCAGAGACAGAGCTGGGTAGTGGTAACCAGCCAGCTCAGACCTGGTCATCAAGTGTGTGGCATGACCATCACCATGCATTTAGGCCCTACTCTGAAGGTGGTTGACCCTGTCAACTCAGCATCACTTTTGTTATAAACTGTGTGTGTGTGTGTGTGCTGGGCATGCGTGAGACATGGTACATTTATGGAGGTCAAAGAACAACTTCCAGGAGCGAGTTTTCTCCTACCCAGTGGGACTAAAGGATATGAACTCAGATTGTCGGGTTTGGCAACAAGCACCTTTACCCACTGAGTCATCTACGCCCTCAACACCATTTCTCTTTCTAAAGGTTTCATCAGTGTTCAGCCTCCACGATGTCTGTATCACATGTGCCTGATGTTACAAGAGGCCTGAGACGACACTGGTCCGATCCCATGGAACTGGAACTACAGACAGCCATCAGCCACCATGTGGCTGCTGGTACTCTGAAAAGGCGACCAGTATCCTTAACCAGAGCCATCTTCCCATCCCTTGGCAATCATTTAAGAACTCTTTCTACTCCATGCTAACTTCTCCAAGTTCAGAAATCAACTGTAGTACTGCTCGTTGTCCTTCCTTTTAAAACATTTTCATCTCGTTTCAAGAGATTGTCATGTGATTCGCAAAAGATAGAATTCCACATCACTCCACCACCATTCTCCATGCTCAGATTCTTTCTGCCCTCCCTTCTTGATGTTCCCTAACTCTTGCAAGGGGCACTATAGACCTCATTTAGGGGTGCTCAGTAGTCACTAATTCTCAGAACTTTGAGCCATCTCCACAGTAACTGGCAGCGACACTCATGTATGACCAGGTACTTAAAAGGTCAGTTGACAGCACATCAGGTCCATTTGCTGCTGTTGACTGATCAGGATGTCTGGCATATCACTGGTTCAGTTTCCAGCCTATCATCCCCTACTACAACTACAGAACCAAGTGATTTGAGACACTTGGTGGTTTCTAGGGCTTGGGTCCCTTTCCTTTATCATCCCACCCAGCTTGCCAGTAACATGCTGCATTCCTGGCTACGCCTGTGGGCAGTTTTCCTGGCACCAAGGATATCTGCATCAGGTTTTTAGCTACAGGAGCAGCTCAAGGGTGAGAGCACTTCATTCACCTAACTCGGTGTGGGCAGTCTCTCTCTCCCCATCATTCTCTTTGGCAGTGCCCATCATTGACCTAGGCTAGTAGCCCCTGCAAGCTTCTACCACTCAGTGGTGAGGCTACAGGCATGTGAGTACACCATACTCAAGTTTTTTGTGTAGGTTCTGAGATTTGAACTCAGGTCACACTTGGTCAGCAAACTCTCTTAACCCTGCTGAGCCATTCCCGCAGACCCAGGACCCATTTTATAGAACAGCAGGCACAGAATGAACTGCCTCCAATTTTGAACCAGGAGCCTGGGCAGACATTAGGTGGGACTCAGTTTCTTACCACCAGCAGATGGAGGTTGTGTAGATTTAAACAGGACCAGAAAGTTAAAAAACAAACAAACCGGACCAAGAACAACCAGAAAAGTAACTATTTTGAATTGCTTTAATTTGGATTTTACAAAAACCTGATTTAAGTATGTTAAGTTCAGTAATAATTTCTACAAAAAAAAAAAAAAAAGTACATACAATGCCAGAATTCCTTAACAGCAACTAGTATCACATTTTTTCTTATGCAAAAAAAAAGAAAAAAAAAAAAAAAAACATGCATTAATATCAAGTGCCACATGTTGGCCCAAACCATCTCTACAAGAAGAGATGGCCCAATAGTAAGAAAACTAGTTGTGAACAGGTACAAAAAGAGGTTTTCTGGTTAAATGGGGACTTTTCTTAGGCAAGCCCTTCACTGGCCATTTGTACTTTTGCTGCTCACTGACACTGCGTGGAACCTTGGTTCTGACCTGTCACAAGCAGACAGGAACTTTTTGGTAGTTAAATCTGACATCTGGGAAGATACAAACTTTGAGGACACACTGGTACATGGAAAGGGCAACTTTCAAGTTCAAAATATCCTCAGACTTGGAAGACCACCCCCAGGCTGTAGGCACCTGAGGGTTCTGACGGAGCCCTCGCCAGGCCAGCTCAGTGCACACAGGCACTGCCGGCAGTTGGGACCTTCCAGCTCTGCAGGTCAGACTTCACAGCATCTGTTATTAGGATGCTGCAGGCTGTACACAGCACAGGAGCCAGGCCATTTCCTGAGGCCTTATTTGTAAGCTACTTCATCTTGTCCAGGAATTGGAAAGTACTCATGCATACAAATGCTGCACACACACAAAAATATCCACACCAACATGTGACCTAAAATGCCTTTAATGTACCTCACAGTGTGCTAGGAAGACCCTGACCCTCTAGAGGGTGCAACTTAGGGCTTTGTGGACCAAAGATGTTTTCCACATAGACTGAGGGAGCTTTAAAAAGAGTTCACACCATCCAAAAGACTTCTGTCAAACATGGGAGTTTTACACAACAATCCATGAGGGGCTTCAGTCAGGAGGGGAGTAGCTGTGCATGCTGTTTACACACAAAATCTCAACGTGTGTGCAGCTGAGAGCTTTGTCTGGAATCTGCAGTCTCTTCCAGGCCTGTCGCTGCCCCACTCACTGCCACGAGGGTCAGTCAGTATCTTTGCCTTCAGCACAGACTCAAGGGGAAAAATAACTTACTGGGGTTCCAAGAACATTTTTCCTAACACAACAGTATCAAAATAGGTCCATTTTCATATATATGTATGCATATCCCTGATAATGTAAGAACCCGGAGAACTCTAAAGCACCCACATGTCGTGGGTGGGGGCGTCATTTTTAGGCAGCAGCAAAGGGACTCCCATCTGAGTGGATTCCCCAGAAGCCCGGGGAACATTACAGTACTAACGCTGATGTCTGAGGACCAGAAGAATGGTGAAGAAATTTCACTTTAAACTCATCAGCAAAATTCAGAACAAAGGCTTGATTCCTCAGTCCTGCCACGAGTCAACCTCCCTGCCTCCTGTAGATATCAACACCACCACAACACCAGTCCTGGCTACTCTGAAGGTTGGTCCAGAGAAAAGTTCCCAAGTCTCTTTAAGCCATAATCAAACCTCACAAGCAATGAGAGGACTCACAGAGCAGGGTTGAGGAAGCTTTGACCCAAGGCACCGTGATCACGGGGGCAGCAGGGATTGTCCCACACAGAGGTTCAGGCTGACAGGAAGAGAACCTGTAAGACACAGAGGACCCTGAAGGCAGTAGCTCTGTGGATACACATTTGGGAGTCATAGAACAAATTGCTAAAAAAGAAACCAATTTGCTTTCTCAAGATCAAATCAAACTCCTTAAAACATAAGAAAAAAAAAAAAAAATCCTGGGTATCCTGGACAGAAAAGCTGAAGTCTGTGGAATGAGCTGAGTCAAAGAGGACGCTTGAGAGACCAGAACGAACACTGTGGCTACAGTTAAGGAGCAGGGAGCTTGACGCCACAGGAGGACGGAAAGGGGACCAAGTCTGAGAGGGGCCTCTTTATTCCGGAATGGTGGCATTTTCGTGAACCGGAATGAGGAAGCATGTTGCCCCATTCTAGCTGCAGTAATACTGCAGCCCATCCACTCTCCTCCTCTTTTTTGATTGAAATTCTTCAAAGAACTGCTGAATATCTTCTCTCTTAACAACCTGTTGGTGAAAAGCCAAGATGTGAAATAGAGCTACATTCTGTAACAGCAACAAAAGGTTAGAGCACTCACAAGCAAGCAAAGGAACCCCACTGGTTAATTCCAAAGCCAGGAAAGCTGGTGTGGTGGCACAGTCTGAAATCCTAGTGTAGGAAGACAGCCACAAGTTCAAGGCCAGCCTGGACTACTGAATAGTCTCAGTTTCAAAACCACAAAAATCAAAGAAAAAGGAATTGCAGTCGCCCTCCATTCAGCACAGGACTGCATGTGGATAAGCTCTGCAGTGGGAAACTGTGTTGGACACACCCAAGCCATGAAGAACCTGGGCAGGGAACACAGTATGCTGTGCAGTGAGCCCAGGCCGTCACTGACAAGAGTGACAGATACACAACTTGAAGTAGCTTTTACTAAGTGGCCACTGCTTTCCTTTCACAGCAGTGGGGCAAATACTACATCACACCACATTTGACAGGGGCCTCTGTAGCTCAGTGTGTAGTTAATGCCATCTTTTTACGGAAATGCTCACTGAGGCCCAACAGAGGCTGACCACTCAGTCACCCAGCCAGGCAGCAGAGAGACTGTCATCTCTGTCATTATGACTGATGCATAGATTCGTTTAGATTTCAATTTACCCTTCTCAGGTCTCTGATCACATTGATGGCTAAGCTAATAATAGCCTGATAGCTACAAAACAAGCAATTAGCACCTCACTCCAAGGTCAATTCATCAGCTCCTTAAAAGTACTAACTCCTAGATCTCTCATTTAAAAGGCAAACAGGTTTGCCTTACAGACCTCATGTTAAAGATAAACATGCTTCAGATGCCTTCTCAGTCCTCTTCCTGTGCAGGGGACCAGGTGTTAAGCCTTACTCCTAGAACTGCTACTGTCAGGTCTAGACACAGTCTACTTTACCTGCTCAAAAACAGGTCTCAGATGTAACTTTTACTATTCCTTTAGCTAAAAGAACTTACTTTACAGGCACTGTTCCCAGGAATCTCACCCATGTCTCACGGTAAATAATTAGTATGAAGGCCTAAGGATACAAAAGTTTAAGCTATGAAGGAAAGCTTCTAAGAAGATATTTGAGGGTCTAAGATGTTTAACGGTTGGTTAAGTGCAAGTTATAAAGGTTTGAGGGTCTAAGTTGTTTTAAGGTTGGTAAACGTGAATTATCAAAGTTGCAGGTTCTAAAGATGATGTAAGGTATCCTAAAGAGATAAAAATGTGTTAGATTTCTTCCTGTTGCTATGCTACTGTCATATTAAGACTGTTCAGAGCTTTGACATTAATCACTGGAGCTCTGATTTATTAATCCAAATCTACTAAATCAACTATACAATTTACTATTATGGTTCTAAACTCAAGATTTTAAGTTTCCTTTTGTTTGTCTTTTAAGTATAGACTTAAAAGTTGTTTCTCACTGTGCTAAACTTGTATACATCCAGTCTTCTGGATAGAGGGAAAGAGCCCTTCTTCCCCAGAGCTCACCTTAAAGAATGTCTATGCTGTTAACACAAAGCTGTATGTCTACTGCCTTTTCTACAATGTATATTTCACTACAAGCAATGTTGATACTAACATGTTTAAAACTTATCTTCTTTTTAAACTTAAAAGGGATTTTTGAAAGCCACAAGAAATCCACCTGAATCCACTTCTCAGGTCAAATGGAATCCAGATAAGTATTGCCAATCAGCAGCCTAAATTTCCAACCTATTGCCTATTCCAGAGATTGGGACTCCCCTCCCCCAACTACCAAAACAATGGGTCCAAAAGTTTCAAATGTGTGCTGAGACTGGATAGGCTCTCTCGGCATCTGTGCTCCCCACTTGTGGGTTGAAATCATGCTGCTGGGACCCTATTCCTGGCCTGCTTTCCAACCATCCAACTGCTACATTCTGCCCCCAACACCAGCTGATTGGTGAGCTCCCCTCCATGGTTGGTGCAAATGCTCCCCTTTGTCTAAGAGACTGTTGATCGTCTGGCACCTTTCTGGTTCACTGAGGAACAGAGGTACCCCCAATCATGGCTTTCAAGGCTATGGTTAGTCCTTCTCACCAACCTTCATATAGACACCAACCCTGAATGAATAATTTTTTTCTGGCATGATTTCCAGGTTCCTTTTCTCACGTGTTGAAAATCCTAGAGCTAGGTGAAACCATGTCTCCAGGCATCTGCCACATGGCCCTGGCACAGCTCGTGATGACCTGCTCTGCCAGCTTGTGCCATTTCGTCTCTGGTTCTCCTGTACTCTGGGGGACAACCCAGAGTATGGCCAAACTAATTTACTTTGCTCTCTTACCCATGGGAATCGCATCTCCTACTATACCCCCAGGCTCTCCTCTTGTGTGTCTCCTAGATAATTTCAGATCCCTACAACTTAGTGCCCGCTTTAAGTGTTTGTAAGCTTACCAGCCTATGCAATCAAACTTGGCCTCAATTTCCCTTAGATGACAGATTCAAAACAGGATCATTTTAATTACTGCCAGCAATTGAGAAAATGGAAGGAGGTTCCCTATGTTCAAGCTTGCTCTCCCAAAAAGTTTCAAATGTACACCTAAAAAGGAATATTCTCCCTAACCTTCTTAACTTTTTCTCCTGTCCATATATATGTTCCCTATAGCCTGTCAGGTCTTGGTGTTTCCTACATCCAAGACAGCGCCAAAGCAGCTACCCACAGGTGCTCCAGTCTAACCTCACAGATTGTGTCAGCTAGACCTGCATTTTCTGGCCCCTGGCCACTGATGTTCTCAGATCCTGGACAGTAAATACAACAGCCTGCTCTTCTTGGGCTTGACCAACATTTCAGCATTTGCCCACAAAATCAACGCCCCAATGTCAGCCAGAAGTAACCAGAGACAATTCCATTTCTTTGCCCCTTGTCCATTTATTATCCACAAAAGGCTTGAATGTCAGACCGAGGACAAACAGCTCCAGGTTCACCCAGCATTCCTCAGTCCCCATCTGCTGCAGGGGATGGCTAGCATACCCCGCCCCATACACTGAACTTTCCAGGGAAGGGGCCTCCCCCTGACCATATAATCCATACGTTTTGGTATGGGCTCTCTCTCTCTCTCTCCCTACCTCCTTCCCTCCCTCCCTCTCCTTCTCTCCTTCCCTTTCTCCCCTCCCTCCCATCTACCCTTCCTCCCTCAATTCTCCTCTTCTCTCTCCTCCCCCTCCCTTGCATGGCAGCCAAAAGAACCTACATTTATATATGTTAACTTGTCTTGCATGAGAAGCAGCCCAATGTCCTCATTCCTACCTTGCTTAGCAACCTGACCTTATCACCTGCACCACCAGGTGTGTGCCAGATGTAAAGAACCAGCCAGTCACTGCTTGCTCTCTCTGTCTTGGTTTCTCCCCTTCCCTGTCCCTGGGGACAACCCCTCTCCCATCTCTCTTTCTCTCCTCTCTTGGTCTCTGCCTCAGTTTTCTCTCTCCTTCCCTGTTTTTGGGGCAACCACCTCCGATCCATCTCCCAATGTCTCTCTCCCTCTCTTCCTATCCACCCCCTTCTCTTTATTCCCATTTCCGTACAATAAATCTCTTCAGACCAGTTCTCCTAGTTGACACTGTCATCAACCCTCGACTAAAATCTATACAATCTCCTTGCCTTAGCCCAAATAAATGATATCCATGGCCCCATTCCTTGGGACCAGTGAACCTGGCCAGGAGCAGGGTCTAATAAACCTGCCTTTATCTACTTTTAGTCTAATCTGGCCTATATTACATTGGAGGAAACCTATTTATTAGTAAGGACCCTCTTATTGATCCTTCTTGGCCTGCCAATATCTCTACAGGTAGCTTCTGCATTAAATGTTCAGCTATTTAGCCAGGCACTGTGGTAAACTCCTGTGATCCCAGCCTTTGGGAAGCTGAGACAGGCAGCTGAAGAATCTGAAGCCAGCCAAGGCTATATGTAAAATTCTTGTTTCAAATTACAAGCAAACAAAGGTAAAATAAAAAATTTTAAAAAAGAAAAATTGAAGTACTCCATTTATGTTGCACAATTTTTTTGTGTGGGGGGGAGGGGAGGGTTCGAGACAGGGTTTCTCTATGTAACAGCCCTGGCTGCACTGGAGCTCACTCTGTAGCCCAGGCTGGCCTCAAACTCACGGAGATCTGCCTGTCTCTACCTCCCAAGAGCTGGGTTCAAAGGCATGAGCCACCATACCAGAATTATTTTAATATATTTTTCTTATCAGTTTTTTAACATTAAAGAAAATAAGAATTTATTCAAAACTAACAAAGCTATGATTAAGGTTCTTTAACTCAACATACCGTGCCTTCATCAGCAAATCTCTTCAGGTAGTCTTTAAGCTCAGTCTTCAAGTCATTGTATTCTAAAAACCACAAAAACACCTTAAGTTCACATAGGCCATTGACTTTTTTTGTTTTTTATTTTATTTTTATTAATTACAGTTTATTATCTTTGTATCCCAGTTGTAGCCCTCTCCCCGCTCCCCTCCCAAGGCCAAAGACTTTTAAAAATAAAAGATTTGTCACTGATAGGCAAGTGCATTAACAATTTATACCAATGTTTCCTTAGTTAAAACCCAGAAAAACTTGTTCTCCACTTCTCTTAACTCCAGATTCCCTCCTTGTGGTATCTAGAGCCTTATATTTAATAAGAACAAACAATCCAGAAATGTCCACACTCTATAAAGACTAACTGAGGCAACTAAAAAGGGGTCCTAATTTTTCAGTGAATCAAGCCTCTCAAGTAACCCTGAACTCATCAGACAGCCTTCCCACCCATAACCCCCCCCCCCCCCCCCCCCCCCCCCCCCCCATACACACTTTGGTTTTTAGAGACAGGATTTCTCTGTGTAGCCCTGGCTTTCCTGGAAATCACTCTGCAGACCAGGCTGGCCTTGAACTCTGCCTCTGCATCCCAAGTGCTGATTTTAAAAGTGTGTGCCACCATCATCCACATTATCACAGATGAAGAATCTCTTAAACACAGGCACTATCACTGAAAAACTTTTAATCAGGGTCTCAGAATGTGTGTGTGTTGTGTGCTCTTGCATGCACATAAATTCACCAAAGAACAATAATACATGTATATGAAAATATCATAATGATGCCTATTGCTTGTATAGAACTAAGAAAAAACAAGTTTTTAGTCTAATAATGGTAAAAGAAAAATTTAACTGGTTACAAATAAAAGAGAAATGATCGATGCTCTGAAAGAGACACAAAGAGGGCTGGAGAGATGGCTCAGAGGTGAAGAGCACTAGCGGCTCTTCCAGAGTCCTGAGTTGATTCCCAGATATAGATATCTAGACCTAGATAACCATCTATAATGAGATGCGGGTATACATGTGGGCAGAGCACTGTATACATAATAAACAAATCTTTAAAGAGTGGGGCATCGGAGGGGGGCACAAAGGTCATAGAATCCAAGCGAAAAGTGGCTGAGACTGAAACACTGAATCACAAGACCATGCCTGCCAGAAGAGGGCACCAGATCATGTTATAGATGGTGTGAGCCACCGTGTGGTTGCTGGGAATTGAACTCAGGACCTCTGAGAGAGCAGACTGTGGTCTTAACCTCTGAGCCATCTCTCTAGCCCTACTTTCCTATTATTATTCTGTGTTCAGATATCTACCCTTAATTTCAATAGTCCATGTTGTGGTTTGTTTGTTTCTTTCTTTCTTTCTCTCTCTTTTGAGACAGGGTCTGTACAGTGCCCTGACTGTTCTAAAGCTCACTATATAAACCAGACTGGCCTCAAAACACACTGAAATCCTCATGCCCCTGGCCCCGTATGCTGGGATTATATGTGTGCCCCACCACAGCTAGCAAAACTGTGGGTTCTTTGTTTTGTTTTTTTTTTTTAAACTTTGTTTTTTTTTTTTTTCATTTTATTTTATGTGCATTAGTGTGAAGGTGTCAGATCCCTTGAAATTCAGTGCTCTTAACCACTGAGCCAACTCTCCAGCCCCAAAACTGTGGTTTCTTAAACATTATTGAAGCATGAAATGCTGATGAGCCATTGGTAACAGCAACTGACTATTCAGCTTTATTAAAAATCAAACAGTAGCAAAGGACTACTACATAATTCTGACTCACATTACACAAAATCAGAAACATGGATGTTTACTGTCTTTATCCATGCTTCTGCATAATGAAGGAAACGCTATAAACAGTTCTTACCACAGATGAGTTCCACTTGCTGGACTCTGTTCATGCTGCTGAGGGTGTCCATCAAAGGGTCCCTTCTATCCGCTGCCTGGTCACTCTTGCCTTTGTTCTCATATGCCAGAACGGTATCATATTCATCTGTCAGGAACAGCACGTCTAGTTCTCTATACATTTTCTTTAGAAAGAAAAGAAAGAAAAGAAAAAAAAATTCTGTTTCCTTATTTAGAATGTCATTTTCAGAAAGCCAAAGTCAGGAGAATAATTAACAATTCCATTTATTTTTAAATTCACACTAGAAAACTGAGCCTCAAAGTTGCCTCTTGAATTTCTACTTTTGGCCCAGATCTTTTTCAGAAATCTTCCAACTTCCACAGGACTATGGTCTATGCAGTCTGAATTTACTAATTTTCGAGCCCTTGGTTTCTGAGCAATTCTATGATACAAAGAACTGGTTACATATTTTTATGTGCACAAACATTTTGCCTATCTACATGTCAGTGAACTACATGAAGGCAGTGCCCACAGAGGCCACAAGAGACTATCAGATCCTCTGGGACTGGAGCACAGACATTTGTGAGCCACCATGAGGGTGTCGGGAACTGAACCTGGGTCCTCTGCAAGAGCAGTAACTATACTTACCACTGAGGCACCTCCAGGCCCATGTTTTCTACTAAAACTTGGTAGAAAGCATCACATAATTCCTATTTTCCTCTACAAAAACTCAGTCTAAGAGTGTGACCTCATAAATTTGGCCCATAGGAAATTGAGTGTCCCCTGAAGCCCTGTTATCAATCCATGAATAATTTTGCAGTGTATAATCTGTGAGGGTCAAGTGGAACCAAACACTCACCATACAATCTTGGCAGGTGCACAACCTGCTCCGCCAGTTCAGGGGCCAGTAGGTGGCAGCATCCTTCTTTACAAACAGCTTGGCTTGGAGCTCCTGAAGTCTGCAGCCAGACTGCGACTCACTTTTGGTGTTTCCATTCTTAAGCACGGTCTGAAATAAAATTAAATTTTGAAGCATGAGTCTCTGTATTTCTAAATTTAAAGAAATAATCAATTTTATTCTTCTGTGCATGGTGCTTTGTTGTATGTCTATGTACCATGTGCATGCCTGGTGTCCATGGAGGCTATGAGGGGGACTGGAGTTAAGGATGGTTGTAAGCTACCATGTGGGTTCTGGAAGTCAAACCCTAGGTCCTCTGAAACAAAAGCCACTGCTTTTAACCACATGCACAGCTGTGTACGTGTGTGTAGAAAGGACGTGACAATCAAGTGTCTTCCTCAATCATCTTCCTCACCTTATTTTTTGAAACAGGATCTCTCACTGAACTTGGAGCTCACCGATTGGCTAGATTGTCTGTCAGCTAATTCCAGGGATCCTCTCATATCCAACTTTCCCGCACTGGGATGCAGGCGCACACTGCTCCTGCTCGGTTTTGTTGTTCTTTCAGACAGTGTATCACTATGCAGCTCAGTTATACCCTAGAACTTGCTACATTGACTAGGTGAGCTTCAAACTCAGAGCTCTCCCTTCCTCTGCCTCCTGAGTGCTGGAATCAAGGCGCTACCACGCCCAACAATGTTTTTTCACATGGGTACCAGAGAACTAAAGTCCTCACACTTGTATGACAAGCACTTTACCACCTCCCCAGCCTATGCCCAGCCTTTTGTCATGGGCCCTACAGATGAAACTCACATCCGAGCACTCAGCTGACTAGATTCACTTCTTATGTGGCTTGAATTTCCTACAGTACCTGGAGGTCAGACTGAGAACTAGAGCTGGCACATGGCTCATTATTCTGCTCTGCTTTAGCTTCCTTGCCAGCATTCCTTTCAGGTTCTGGAGCATCTTCTTTCAGGGTGTTATCTTCATGGCCTCCATTTTCAGGCTTGACAAGGTTTTGATTACCCATCCCATCAACATTCAGCAGCTGTCCGTCATCTTCAGCAGGTATCCTGGAGACTGTAGGTTCAATGACACAGAACGGAGCTGTACATAGGCCTCTCAGACCAAGAAATCACACTGTTAAAATATCTCAGACTAGGAGAAAAGCTAACCTGAATCTCTGTAATAACAAGAAAGGAATTAACACTGTTTTTTAATATTATGCTTACCTAACTCAAATAAATGGTTCATTAAGAAATATTAATGTGTATATAAACACTTTATACATAAAGAATACACTACAGCTGTTTAAAAAAAAAGGGGGGCTAACTAAAGAAACGAGGCAGTGGGAAGGGATTTAACTAAAAGCAGAAGAAACACGATTCTGGAAAACACAAGATTTTATTTGGGAGGAGAGAATTAGAAAGGGTGAGTCTAGAGACAGATGGGAAAGAAGCTAACAGTGGGAAAGTGTTGCAACCTACGGCGAAGCACCTGACAGGGTAGGGGAAGACAAAGAAAACCCAGGCTGGGACATGAGGATCCAGAAGGCTTTAAGACCAGCCTGAGTGACAGAGAAACCCTACTTGGAAACAAACAAAAAAAAAAAAAAACAAAAAACACATACAGAGCTTGGGGCTTAGAGGACAGCTCTTGCCCAGCTTGTGTGAGGGTCTGGGTTTGATCCTTAAGAGTACAAACACAACAAAACAACCAATCAGCCAAAAGCAAAAGCAAAAACCTCAGTGGGAAACACATGTAACTCAACGGTCTGCAGCCATCTGGGCTGTCTCTGGAAGAACGAACAGAAAGAGCTGTGACTACGGCAACCTTGAGGTAAAGCCAGAGAGCTTAGGCATGGCTCTGCTGCTTGTAGCTCCTGTGGCCAAAGTCCCCGAAGGGGAGGACAAGGAAAGAAGGTGCGCAGCAGAATGTCAGCGTCAGCAGAACAGCACACAGAGCACTGACGACCACTACGCCAGCTTATGACTTAACTCCATTTCCTTACCTACACAACATGCTGTTTCCCCATCTGCAGCGGGGGGAATACACACACACTGCAAAATCCATATGGGAAAAGCCAACCTCCAGTGCAGAAGTATTAAAGCGTGTGGCTTTCACAAAGTAATTAGGTCACAGGGCCTTCCTTCACAACTGCAATCAGCATCTTAGAGGAGACTGTATGCTCCCTCTCCATGGCCAGAGGACACACACAAAGTTCCGTGTGTGAAGAATGGCCTTCACACCTAGCACCTTGACCTTTACTGTCAAGAACTGTAAGCAATATTTACTATTGACAAGTCTAAGGCATTGTATCACAACCCTGTAATGACAACCCCTTCAAAACAGGTCTTATATTTAACTACTTACTTTAGTTCTATTTATCTTTTATCTTTCAAAACCCCAACCAAATACTACCTCCTGAACTTTCTCTAACTCTGGTTGCATCACTACTCTGCACCATACTGTTCAAGTTCACGTTTGTTCTTGGTGGGCTCCCAACCAGTCTAAAAGCACTCAGTGGAGAAGGGACATAGCTGGATGCTTCCTAGATCTCTCTAAAATCCAGTTAAAAATACATTCTAAAAATTTTGGCTTGAACACACATATTTGATAAGCACAAATTTGCATCAGATCAACCTCACAGAAACACTTACCTGCCAACTGGGCAGCATAAGCCCACAAGAAAGAACAGCGCTTCATACAGGCCTGGCACACCATCTCTTGGAAATCCCCATTCTCAGGCGGAATGGCACCGAGATGCTGTGGATACAGAAGCAGATGTTTCCTGTGATCTCCACGTCTTCTAGAATGCCTATCCTTTCAGAAACAGATACTGCAAAAGTACACTGATCACATCTTTATCAAAAGAAATGTAAAATAAAACAGAAAATATTTTTTTTGAGATAGGGTCTCACTATGTAACCCTGGCAGGCTTGGAAATTGCTACACAAACCAGACTGGCCTTGAACTCACAGTTATCTGCCTCCAGAGTCTAGGATTAATGGTGTGTTCTTTGACCCAGTCAGTGAGCCATTTTTCAGCTCCATTTATTTATTTTTGTGACAGAGTCTCAGGTAGCTGAGGGTGGACTTCAACTCCTGATCTTTCTCCCTCCACCCACTAAGTGCTAGAATGATAGGCTTGTTCCATCATGTCCCATTGGACACATCTTAAGGTCGAAGTATCTCCTTACCCTGCCATGGAACCAGTCTTCACAGACCACACACTGAATCATCTCATCTGGAACCTGAAGAAAAAGCACTTTGTTAATGACTGTTCTGAATTCTAGGACATGAGAGTAAGGATGGCCCGCAGGAGAATTAAATAATTCTCTAGCAACTCCCTGAGAAATCTATCCATGTAAGAGCAGTCAAAAGGACAAATCCACTCTACATGAAGTAGCTTGCACACAATTATCAAAGTTCCTTGATATCCTTGATAGTAGAAACAGTATATACCAACAGACCATGCGGAAGATGATTTTCCCTTTATCTTAGGCTTTCCTACCAACTAGTTAATATCTTAATGTTTTTCTGTCCCTTTAATGTGATGGCTTCTTAAGAGACAAAAGTAAATAAATAGGACACCCAATAGGCATAAGTTTTGTTTTTCTTCCTGCCTCTCAATTTATCAACTTTTTTTGAGGGGGGTCCTCTTTATTTTAAAAGTGCTGTAAGAAACATTCTGCCCCATTCTTTAAAATATCTAGTTTTTGGAGATATTTGTTGGTGCATCAGTCTCTGCATGGAGAGGACCTAGACCCCCTACTTAGATGTAGCCAATAGGCAGCTTAGTGTCCATGTAGGTTCCTAAGTAAGGGGAGCAGGAACTGCCTCTGTCATGAACTCAGTTACCTGCTCTTTGATCACTTCCCCTGGTGATGCAGCCTTGACAGGCTACAGAGGAAGAGGATCCAGACAATTCTGATGACACTTGATAAGTTAGGGTCAGATGGCAGGGGAGGAGGACTCCCCCTTTCAGTGGACTAGAGGAAAGAGGATGGGAGGGAAGGAAAAAGTGTAGGACCAGGAGATGAAGGAGGGGGCTACCATCAGGATATAAAGTGAATAAATTGTAAAAAATAAAAATATATTTGTTAAAGATACTTTTAATTTTCTCTTGTATATAATTTGGTTCACTAATATGGTCCCAGACGATTAAAAAGCCAGAAAAGTGGAAAGAAAATGATAGGCAAGTGAGAGAGAGAAAAAAAAAGTCTGCTCCAATGTTTTATTCTTATGATACACAAATGGAAAAAAAAATCTAAAATGAACAGCAACAACAAAACCCTAGTTCGGTTCTAAGGTAGCTTGAGGTTATTTTAAACTTCTGATTCTCTTACCTCATCTTCAGGATCAGGGTAAGGTCTCTTACAAATGCAATATAATCCAAAAAAGTTGTCATTGTACTTATTGCAAGAATTTACCTTTGATTTGTCCTGAAAGAGAATAAATTTCAGTACATACAGTACATATAATGGTCTAATAGTATGTATATGGACCAGTTTATTTGAGCTGACACTAAACTGGGATTTCAAGACACTTCTTTTTCTTTTTATTTTCTTTAAGATTTATTATTTATGCAGTGTTCTGCCTGCATCTGTGCCTACAGGCAGGAAGAGGGCACCAGATCTCATTATATTATGGTTGCGAGCCACCATGTGGTGGCTGGGAATTGAACTCAGGACCTTTGGAAGAAAAGCCAGTGATCTTAACCTCTGAGCCATCTCTCCAGACACTCTATTGTTTTTTTAATGGTTTTTTTGAGACAAGGTCTCTCTGTATAAACCTGCAACTCACTGTGTAGACTAGGCTGGCCTTGAACTCATAGATCTGCCTGACTCTGCCTCCCAAGTGCTAGGAATGTAGGTAAGCAAGTGTCACCACATTTGTCGTCACTTTTCTTTTTTTTAAGGTTATTTTTATTGTGTGTGTGTGTGTGCGCGCGCGCGCAGCGCGTGCCTATGTTCCTGCACAAAGGTATGTGCACATGGCTGCAGGTGCCTGTACAAACTAAAGGTGTCAGATCCTTTTGGAGCTGGAGTTACAAGCAGTTATACCTATGAATTGAAATCAGGTCGTCTGGAAGAACAGTACATGCTCTCATCTGCTGAGCCATCTCTCTAGCTCTGAAGACATTTCTTAAATGCAGGTATGAAAGCCAAGACTGTCAGGTTATTAGGAGTCAAAAAGGAGGAAAAAAGAGCACTGCCTGCTCTTCCAAAGGACCCGGGTTCAATTCCCAGCACCCACATGGCAGCTCACAGCTGTCTATAATGCCAATTACAAGCAATCTGACACCTTCACACTAATGTACATTAAAAAAATTAATCATAAACTTAAAGGAGAAAACAAGGAGGTTTTAGCAATTATTAATGAGCAATGTGGCATTCTCCTTTCTCTTGCATCTACAATTTCCTGAGTTCTTTAAAAGCATAATTTGGTTTTGCAGACAGCTCTTTATAATTACCATAGCTCTTCATCCAGTCACATGCTCTAAAAGCCTCAGCATGCAGAGATAACCAGCATAAATAAAAATCAGCTTAAAAAGTATCTCCTCCCAGACCTTTAGCATTAACTATAATGTATACTGTAGATTCCCAAAAGGTTATCTAGTTTTTCCAGCCAAATAAAAGTGAAAACACTCAAAAATAAATATTTTGGAAAAAATATGTATTTTTTTACACTTTGGTAAATACCAACCTCAGCCCATTAATTGCATTTTTAAAATATACTTTTATTTTTTATATATAAATTTATTTTTTATATTTTATTCACTTTATATCTTGATTATTTTCCCATCCCTCATCTCCTCCCAGTCACACCCTCCCTCCCTCTTCCCCTTTATGAGCATTTTATTTATTTTTATTTGTGTGTGTGTGTGTGTGTGTGTGTGTGTGTGTGTGTGTGTGTGTGT